CTGGGATCGAGTCCCGCATCAGGCTCCCTATTCCGCGGGAGGCCTGCTTCTCCCTCTCCCACTCCCCCTGCTTGTGTTCCCTCTCTCACTGTATCTCTCTGTCAAATAAATAAATAAAATCTTTAAAAAAAAAAAAAATTTCACCAAGAGTGTTTGCCTGTGAGGGGAGGAGGAGAGCTACTAAAAGAGGGATGTGGAATAAAGGAAAGATTTATTTATTTTCACTATGCAAGAAATTTGAGAATATTTAAATGCTAATAAGAAGAATGCAGGATAAACCGAGAAGCTATAAAAACAGGAGAGGGAATTATCTATGAATAGAGTCCTTGGGGCACCTGGCTGGCTCAGTCAGTGAAGCTTGTGACTCTTGATCCTGGGGTTGTGAGTTCGAGGCCCACATTGGGTGTGGAGATTACTTAAATTAAAAAAAAAAAAAAGTCCTTGACAAGGTGGAGGGGATAGATCCAGAACATAGATGGAGGGGTTAGCCTAAGCAGTAGGAGCATGGTTTTTCTCTGTAACAAGGGAGAAGACGAGGAATGAGAAGGAAGGTAAGTTTTCAGATTTGGTGGTGGGAAATGAAGGGCGTTCTTGATGGCTTTTATTATCTCTCCCAAGTAGAAGGCCTACCACTATTTGAGAGTGTAGGAGCCAGTGGAATTGGAGTTAAAAGGAAAAGAGGTTTAAAATAGCCTGATTTTTATTTTACTTTATTTTTAATATATATATTTTTGCATCCTCCCTCTCCCCACAGAGTCACTGATTTTTAGGGCAGTGAAACTATTCTGTATGATGCCATAATGGTGGATACATGTCATTATACATTTGTTCAAACCCAGAATGTACAACATGAAGAGTGAACCCTAATATAAATTATGGACTTTGGGTGATGATTATGTGTCAATGTAGGTTCATCAACGGTAGAAAGTGCATCACTCTGGTGAGAGGTGTTGATAATGGGGGAGGCTATGCATGTGTATGGGCAGGGACTATATGGGAAATCTCTGTACCTTCCCCTCAATATTGCTTTGAGCCTAAAACCGCTCTAAAAAAATAAAGTTAATTAAACAACAACAACCACACCTACTGGCCAAAGTGGCTGAGGAAACAGAAGAACTCCAGGCAATGTGTGAGGGCCCATGAATTCACCGGGCCACCAACCTGCACAGATGAGGAGTGTTTTCTCTAGCTAAGTGGTAGGTTTGGAGAAGGCAGAGAGATCTAGAATTGGAATTTTGACAGGTAGGCCCAATGGAAGAAAACAGGGATTAGAGATGAGGATACTGAGAGGAGGGGGCAAAAATGACAGTCTAACCAAGGATTCAGGAGAAAGCAGAAGGGAATTGATTATAGAGAGATTCAGGGATTTTGAATTCTATGTAAAGCTAAAGAATAGTGTGTGATTGGCAGCCCCTAAGATGATCGCCAGTGATCCTGCCTCCTGGTATTCGTGCCCTTGTGCAATCCTCTCCCCTTGAGGGTGGGCCCGACCGAGAGACTTTTCTAATGAATAATAGCATATGGCCAAAGTGATGGGATGTTACTTCTGAGATCAGGTTCAGAAAGACTGGTTTGCTTGTCCTCTCTTGCTCTCTCATTTGCCTGCTCTGATAGAAACCATCTACCATGTGAGTTGCTCCATGCAGAGACCCACCAGCAAGGAACTGAGGCCTTCAGTCCAAAGCTCTTGGGGAACTGAATCCTGCCAATGATGACATGAGTGAGCTTGGAAGCAGATCCTCCCCGTCAGGTAACAGACCTTCATGACACCACAGCTGCCACTGACGCCTTGATGGCAGCCTTGTGAGAGACCTTGAGGTAAAGGCACTCAGCTAAGCCATGCAGATTCCTGACAAAAATGGTGAGATAATAAATGCTCATTGCTTAATACTTAACTTTTGGGGTAAATTGTTATGCAGCAATAGATAACTAATACAAGGTATAAGAGAAGTTACTGAGTGAGAAGGGAGAGAGGGCAGTAATTATGATCAGATAATGGGGGGGTCTGGGGTTCACAATTTCAGCCATGGAACAGCTGCCATACTTCATCCCTACCGAAGAGGGTGGCTAAATTGGCACAGAGGTCAAGTTCCTTGAAGATGAGGTCAAGGAGCTGAGAGTATTGGACAAGTATTGGACAGGGTATTGGACAAGTCAGGTTCATAAATGTTTAAGTCATTCAGGGTCACTGGGTGGAGAAGTATGCACCAGATGTTGATTTCAACCAATGACAAGGTGGCCGTTGAGGCAGAGAAGACAACAACTTTAATGAGATAGTGGTATAAATCAGGTGAAATGAGCCTTCCCAAAGTTGTTTTTTTTAAGAGGTTGGCAAATTAATGGGATGCAAGGGGCAGCACTAAGGATCTAGGACGATGCTGACCCCCAAAACTTGACCCTGGGATATGTGAAATGTGGAAGCATAGAAAACCTCTTCTCAAAAGAGCTACAGGGTAAGTGGTGTCCTCAGTGTGGAGCCACATTTGAAGATTAAGTGGCTTAAAGGAAAGGTCCTTGGCTCCACATAGTGGGCACAGGACAAATATTAGTTGTCTCTAAATTCATTTAAACATTTGTATGCCCTCGCTCTGTACCCCTCCCCCAACCTCTTTATTCAGAAGAGACTAGGTCCACGTTAAAGGGATGGGATGAGGCGGTTGGGGGCGGCGTAGCTCATCACAAGAGGTCTAGGGACTCTCTCCTCCAGGCCCAGGGAAGAGTTTGTACCAAGGCTTTCCCTAACTTCATTAGCGAAACTAGGAAGAGCCCGAAAACGAGGGTCATTCTCCCGCGTGCACACGGCACATCACCCCCTAAGAGACATTTTTTTTCTCCCACCAACGAACATTAATCGAGACCCTTACAAGTGCGAGATACCGGCGACACAAACACGAACGAGACACACTCCCGAATACAGGGAAGGCGCCAGGCCGCGTTGCCTGTCAGCGCCAATATCCGTAGATTTCACGATGCTCAGACTTTTCCAGGTTCTCCCCACATTTTTAGCTGAGGTAAAATGTCGGAATTAGGTGTGCAGCCGATACGAGACCCTTTCAGGTCTTTCCCTCCAAGGCTCCGGATTCCCCAGTCCGTACTCCCCAATCCGGCTGCGCCCTCCAGGAACGCGGCAAGTCCACGTGGGCTCCCCGGTGGCCCGCGGGGCGGGGCGCAATAGGCGGGGCCAGGCCGGAGGGCGAGGCTGGCCCCACCCCCGGGGCTCCCATGGCCCCCCGCGCCCCGCGGCCAGATGCTGACGTGTCCTTTCCTTCCCACTACACCTCCCGACACTACCTACTACGGCTGCCCCGGAAGTCCCGCCCCATACTTAGCCCGTCACCGCAAATCAGCTCTTTCAGCGCTTCCTGGAGCTTGCCTCGCGTTTAGGGACTAAAGGGCGGGGTTCCGCGAGCAGGGTGCCTATTGGTTTGAGGTCCGGCGGGCTCTGGGCGCTAATTGGCCGGAGGGCGGTGGCGCTCTGGCACGCTTGCGCGGCGAGTAGAACGTGTGGCGGCGGCGGCGGAGAACGCGTCTCTTCTTTCGCTTCCAGTCCGGCTGCTGCTCTTGTGAGCGCCCGGCGAGTCCGTGCCGTCCATTGCCCGAAACCCGTCGCTTGCCAGCTCTCTGCCGTGGCGGCCTCCCACCAACACCGCCACCCACATTGACACCTCCGAGCCGGCCCACTGCCTTACTTGCTGCCGTTCCATCTCTACACATGGCCTCCTCCGCGCAGAGCGGCGGCACCTCCGGGGGACCCGCGGTCCCCACCGTGCAGCGGGGCATCGTCAAGATGGTGAGAGCGGGGCCCGAGACACTGACCCCATCGCCCGCCTCCGGGCGGGTTTTGGCGCCGGCTCCTCTTCCCCTTCCGCGAGTCTGCATGGTCTCCCAGATTCCCTTTTCTCTGTCCCTTTCCTTACTTTTCACCCATTCTCGGAATTCCCTTCCTAGACGGAACCCGACACGAAATCCCCTTGGTACTTTGCTTCCCGGACACCCTGGCATCAAGGGTCACGGTGATTTCCGTGGTCGCGGCACTCAGATCTGCTGTTTACCCGGACAGATCGGTTACTTGATTGATTAACGGGGGTAATAAGTTGATAGCTGCCCTCCCATCGCCCCGTTCTTCTGTCCATTTTGACATCTGCTGAGCAGTGTGCAGCTGTTCGAGATCCTGACATCCGCTCTTCCCTGAAACTAAGAGCATTTGGCCATCTTGAAGCTTTTCAGTTTCCACTGACGCTCACTTACTTACTCCCAAGTTTTCTTGCTCTTTGGCCCTCATATGCCGTCTTTTTCTCTCCACCTCTTCTGTCAAGTATGTAGTCCCGAAAGCTCTTAGTATTTGTTCTCCCTCTCCTTTTGACCCTTAAATGCTAGGCCAGTAGGAATTTTAGCGATCGTTATTTTTCCCTCACCCCTTACACATAAGGAGAGTGGTTCGAAGAGGGCAGTGACTTGCCTAAGGTCATCACGTGGTGGCTTGGATCGGAGCCAGGACCGGGGTTCAAGTGTTCGGATTCCCAGTCCACGGCCCTAAGACTAGATTCTGCCTGATTTTATATCCCTTCACTCCCTACATTCTTGAATTTTGAATTTAAAACCCTGCAAGACTAATTTTTAAAAAATTTACTCTCCGGCTCCATGATAATTTTGTAGTATAAATTCTCTTTATCACTTGTCACCTCTGTTCTCCCCCCAACCCTCCCAAATCTTGGAACTTGACGTTTCTTGTTTGTTAACAGATTTTCCAGTTGTGATGACTGCAGACAGACTTTCAGACATTTCAGACTTCAGTACTGACTTCCTTCTGGAACAGCAGATACCCTTTATGACATTTTCTCTCAAAAGTTCCACAGTTTTTTGCAGTTGCAGAAAGTTTAAAAAACATTGTTTTCTTGGCTCATTGTCTGCCAGGGTTAAAATGTTCTTTAGTTTGTGTGTGTGTGTAAATTTTTGAGATTTTTTTTCTCCAGCCTTATTCTCATGTATTCATTTCTTAGGTAAAATTCTGCCACCAGCTGAGATTCCCAGGGTTTTCAGTATTGCTTTTCTCCTTCATGTGTAAATGGAAGGTCAGTTTATTAGAAGCTGAATGAGAAGGGAATTTCCAAGGTCCACATATTTTTGCCTCTTTGAATTTTGATCTTTCCCATGAGTAGCTCCTTTTAGATTAGTTTTTTCATTTGCACTGATCTTTCCCTTCACCATAAGAACACCAGCATCTCTTGGCAGCCTGGTGGTGGAATTGGCAGGATTGAGTGGATCTTTCTGAATTTTTTCCTTCACTAAGGCTTGAATTTTTCTTAAAGGTCCCTCTCATTTGTGGGGTAGGAGTGGAATGAGGCTGAATATATTTTTGCTTTTATCAATGCTAGAGGCTTCCAGGGCATCTGGATTCTCTGAGGTGACCATGCCCACAGTTTACCCCCATGGATACTGAACATCAACAATCATTTATTTATTAAGGGTCGTGTCTTGTGCTGAGTATTCTGTTTGTATTATTTCATTTATAACACCTAACAAGTAGATAGCATTGTTGGTTACAGTTTACAGATGTGTAATCTGAGGTTTAGAAAGAATAGTTCACCCAAGGACAGGCACTTTTACTGGCAATAAGAGGCAGAGCTGGGACTTGAACCCAGGACTGGCTGCCATAGCAAGTGCTGTTCGACATCATGCTATGCTGCTTCTGCCTCCAGGGCATGAGTTTATAATGTGGAGGGTGGGGCCAGTGATGCATGACCACAAAATTGCAGGAAAGTGAAGCTGACTGTAATCAAGTTGAGGAAAGATTAGATGTTACTCCTTGTCTTATCCTCGAGCTGTTATTGTGGTGAGTGACTTCATTTAGTGCTTATGGTCATTATGTGCATAGGAGTGTGGTGTAGAAGACACATTTGAATCTGGGAGGAAGCTTTTAAAATTCAGCCCTTGGTGGGGCTCCTGGGTGGCTCAGTCAGTTAAGCATCTGCCTTTGGCACAGGTCATGATCCTGGGGTCCTGGGATCAGCTCACTGCTCGGCGGGGAGCCTGCGTCTCTCTCTCCCTCTGCCTCTCCCCCAGCTTGTGCTCTGTCTCTCTCTCTCTCTCTCTCACTGTCTCAAATAAATTAATAAAATCTTAAAAAGAAGAAAAAAAAAGAAAATTCAGCCATTGAGTAGTCTATTCTTTTCTGTGACCAAACTGCAGGGATGGGTGGGTGAGTTGCAGGTAGGGGTTAGGGGAGGGAAGCCAGGTGAACTGCAGGACAACAGGCAGATTTATGCCAGGAGTAGAAGCCTTGTCTGGAATGAAAAATCGACCACTGGCAAATTGCTCTGTGTGACGCTCTTCTGCTACGCAAAGTTGTATTTTCCTGGAGAGTAATCATTTCCAGTGGTACTAGGAACTGCTTTGTTAAGAACTCTACAAAGGAAAATGGAGCTCTGTGACAGGACAGTGAGAAGGAAATAGTTTGGAGAATTGGAACATGGTTACTGCCTTTTGGGAGAGGGGTAGAGCCTGGAATACTGACTAACCAGAGGTGCGCTTTTCAAGGGAGCCCTCCATATTTGTCTGGACTCAGGCTGAGCTGCAGGTCTGAAACGGTATAGCGATGAGCTTTGCTGCAGTAAAGAAGAATAGTCTTTCCTCTTTTTGGGGGGGGCAAAAATGAGATTATAGAGTCAAGGAAGGTGCAGGTTTCTTCTGGTCTCTGCCTTCTAATCCGAGTAAGTCCTGTTACTTTTTTTTTTTTTTTTAAGGTTAAAGAAGAAAGTACTCAGAAATCAAGTTGTAAAAAATCTTTCCATTTGACCAGTTTTAAAAAATGATGGTGAAGGTAGAGGCTGTGTCTGCTTTTGAGAGTGGGAGCAAAGAGACAGAAACAGAGTTGGTTCTGGAATGTGTTTAAGGAGGAAGTGGGCAGTAAGTTGACACAAGCATTTTGGAGCTGTTCTGTTACTGAAAATGCAGTGAGGATGATGGAAAAACTGAAGGTGGATTTATATTTCCTGAGTTGGGATGAGACTGGCAAGTGTGTGGGCAGACAAAATATAACCTGGAAAAGTAAATGTCCCTGTCAAATCAGACACTATTTTCTCAAAACCCTGAAGAATTCTAACTCTGGATTTTTTTTTTTAATAATTTGCTAGACTTTCTTCAGCTGCAACAGATTATTATCAGCACATGATAAATAGATGAGATTGGGAGAAGTCTTGGGGTACTTAGTGTAAAATTTGGTCACTCCACTTAGCAGCTACTTAGAGATGGCTGTTTTCTCCGGTCTTACACACCTGATTTACTTTGTGTTTTGGGGATAGAGCCCTTTTCTATGTCTTTTCACTCTGACTTTCCCATTCTAACTCGGTGTGTTTGCATGTCTTTTCAAGCAGGAGCCACCCGGGTTGCTTTCAGGATAGCCGAATGAGTCTTCCACAGTTCTTGAATCTTTTGTGCTTATCAGAAGCAGCTATGGAAGCAGCGTATCTCACCCTGCTTATGGTGTGAAAGGCCAAAGGGAGGATAATGTGAAATCTCCATTCATTTCATCCCGCCCCACTTAATTGCCTAAAGGAGAAAGGAATCCCTCTGTCAGTCTTTGGTTTTAGGCTAAGAACCATGATTCTCACTGGGTGACTAAGGCAGAGGGGCATCAAAAGGAGGAGATGGCCAGTTTCCTCCTTCAACAGGAATTGTGCTGCCAGGTTGTTCTGAAGTGGGATATAGACTTCCTAGTGAGTAGCTTAGTGGAAATTTCTCCAGTGTGCAGCTTGTAGGAAATGCTACCTGTAATTTAGGTTATTATAGCTAACTGTTTCTTAAGTTTCTGAACTAAGAAGTATGTGTCTTTCCAGAGTGTAGTGGGGACAAAGAGTAGTAGTCCATTGATCTGCTCCTTCCTACATGCACTTAGCTCATGCAGACTGGAAGAAAAAAACATATTTCCTAACCTACTTAAAATACTCTTATTCTACTACTCAGGGACAAGGTAGCTGAATAACAGTATTTTAGCAGAGCCATTTGCAAAGAACTAGGTAGAATAGGATGGAAGGCTTTTCCCTGTAGTCTTAAAATTGCCCACTTCTCAGCAGGTGAGCATGGTAGCTTTCAGTCAAGATTGTAAGTAAAGGAGCACTAAGTTTCTGTATCTTAAATGTTTTCTGTCATTTTTTTTTCTGCATGAAAAGAAAGCATCCAGCTGGCTGCTGCCATACACTAATGATACAGAGTGGTGAGCAATCATACTTCCTTTCTTTCTTGAATAAACTTTATTGATCATCTGCTGTGTCAAGCTTTATGTGGATATTGGAGAAACAGTGGTAAAAAGTAGATCAGATTCCTGCCCTTATGGTTTATGGGAAAGACAGACAATAAAAAAGTAAACAAGAAATGAGCATGATATTATAAGATAATGATTTCTGGGGAATGGAACAGAGTGGTTGGGAGCAAGGGAAGGGGTGGCTCCCATAGATAAGGTGTTTAGGAAAGGCTTCTCTCAGCATTTGTGCTGAGATCTGATGGACAGCTAACAACCAGCCATAGGGGAAGTGTATTCTTGGTAAAGGGAACAGCAAGTGCAAAAGCTGTAGGGTCCCCGCTCATGTTTATCTTCAGTGTTTTTATAGTAGCTCTTTAATTCCTTCAAGGTCAGTGTTCCGCATAAATGATATGGATTTAACCTGAGCTATTAATCTGTGTTTCAGGGTGATAGAAGACAGAAAGGCAGTAGAGGTGGTTGCTGTCCTGGTACCCTGGTGAGATTGATAGCTGACATTAACTCACTGTAAACAGTGAGAAACTGATAAAAAA